GGGGGGATGGGACTCAGATCTGGTGGCACAGCGAGCAAATCCCCTCCCCTGCCACCAGAACACCCCCCCCATCAAACTATCACAAGGATGTGTTAGATCATTTCTCAAATCTAAAGGAAAATGAACTCTGGTCTAGAATGAGTCACTGCTAGATCTGACTTGGAGGAGTGAATGCACAGTCTGAGGTGGCAGTACAGGAATGGAGACCGCAAACGCACCTTTTCTAAGGAAACCCTCAGTTATTGTAATTTGGATAAAGTATAATATGGGAATGCATCTTCAGAGAGGAAGACATTTTCTAGAATTTGGCTTTGGATCGATCATTATCTCCATGGCCACCATCTGTAGTCCTTATGGTTGCCAGTATATTTAAGGGATGAAAAGAAAAAAATATTTTTTAAAAAACAAACAAACAAGCAAACCCAACATAAAAACTAGCAAGGTATGTACTCCAGGAGAAGCACGTATTGGTCAGTCTTCTAGTCAATTAGTAAAGAATCCCAGGAGATGACTGAAGGTAGGGTATCTCAGTTCTTCACAGCCTGCTTCGTTACGGGATTTGATGTTGCTGCCCCTGTGACAGTGGTTCAGCTTCCTCCATTTACCATAATGCCATTGCCAATGACTTTATTTCTGACAAACTTATCACTAATGGTTCTTTTATTTGTTTGGAATTAATTGGCAGGACAGTGAATTAATGGTATGTTTGGTACTCTTATTTCCCAGTGGTGAAGGATCATAGAATGGTTAGGGGTGGAAGGGACCTCAAAGATCATCTAGTTCCAACCCCCCTGCCATGGGCAGCGAAATCCTCCACTACACCAGGTTTCCCAAAGCCTCATCCAACCTGGTCTTGAACACTTCCAGGGATGGGGCAGCCACAATTTCTCTGGGCAACCTGTTCCAGTGACTCCCCACCCACAGAGTGAAGAATTTCTTCCTTATATCCAGTCTAAATCTCCCCTCTTACATTTTAAATCCATTGCCCCTTGTCCTATCACTACACGCCCTTGTAAAAAGTCCCTCTCCAGCTTTCCTGTAGGCCCCCTTTAGGTACTGGAAGGCTGCTATAAGATCAGCCTGGAGCCTTCTCTTCTCCAGGCTGAACAGCCCCAACTCTCTCAGCCTGTGTTCATACTAGAGTTGCTCCAGCCCTCGGATCATCTTCGTGGCCCTCCTCTGGACCCGCTCCAGCAGCTCCATGTCCTTCTTGTGTTGGGGACTCCAGAGCTGAACACAGTATTCCAGGTGGGGTCTCACGAGAGCAGAGTAGAGGGACAGAATCACCTCCCTCGACCTGCTGGCCACACTTCTTTCGATGCAGCCCAGGACACAGTTGGCTTTCTGGGCTGCCAGCGCACGTTGCCGGCTCATGTTGAGCTTCTCATTGACCAGCATCCCCAAGTCCTTTTCCTCTGGGCTGCTCTCAATCCATTAGCATCTATTTGTGCATCTGTGGTTTTTCCATGCTACACCAATGAATTATGTTTTATTGGGAATTTGACTTGATAGGTTAAATCTGATGCATTTTCTGAGTTTAAAGTCTTTCTTTCGCAGTGTCATTAATCATTGCACAGTAGTGCTACCTGCATGGCTATGCATAGAGCTGGGCATTTCCTCCTGTAAGATTCCCAGGCAGCTCAGAAATTTTAGGCTCTCCCTCTTACTAAGGTTAGGATTACAAGGTCTAAGTGCCTTTTTTGGATCTGTTGCTAAATCACAATGGAGTGACATTAATAAAGTGGTGCAAATAAAAATAGCACATATTAGGCTTCAAGGTCAGTAATTATGTGAGATCCAGCCAAAATGACTTTCTGTTGAATGTGATTTACTCTGCAGCATTTTCAGAACTAAAAATAATTGCTCAATTCATAATATTAATAAGCTAAAAGTACGTACCCAGATATTCTGGTTCAGTGTCTCAAAAACATCAGATGACTGAAAATCTTTGGCGTTTTAGTTTTCTTTTTTTCTTGGAAATTGTCATGTTATGTAGTTATTATTGACTTTTCTGGAGGAAAAAAAACTTCAGGGAAACACATTTTGGATTAGTAACATTGCTTTAAAGTTCTGGTAAAATGTGAAAAAACCTGACTACAGTGAGATGAAAAAGTGGCCTTTAGTTTCCCACAAGGCTACGTATGTGAGAGACATGTCTGGCAACCTGTGCTCTTTGTGCCCTGGCAAGAAGGAGATTACCCATCCTCTGTCCAGGTGGAAGCTTAGCACTGCGCGTTGTTCCAGGTGATTTAGTTTGTGTGTCACAGAAGAATGAGGCAGGATCAGAAATGGATGGGGCATAGCATCGTCATTCAACTTTGAATTGGTTTACTTAGTTGAATTCTTCTTCGGAAAGTAATTAAAGTAAAATCATCATATTTGCTTTCTGAAGTTTCGTAAGGGGAAAATTTATTCTGAATAGAAGACGATGACCTTGTAGTGGACGCTAGGAACAATGATCTCCATAGGAAATGCATATTACCGTTTCTAATGCTACGGATATATTCACATAATACAATTCCAGTTTGCATTCTGTATCAGCAAGGGGAACAGATTCAAGGCTGCATCTTCAGGCTTAACATGGGCATCTCCTGTTTGTTCGTTTTGTTCTCCATGCTCTCCACACAGAGTCAATGAGTAATATATTATCGAGGCTAGTGGTTCAAGACTGTAAATTTTTACTGTCAATTTCTTACATATTGTGTCTGGCCTCTAAATATCAACAGGTATTTGCTTGTGGATAAATGTGAAATTATTTTTTATTTAATTTTGGCTTTTCTTATAAAAGAAAATTATTTTTTCCCCAAATTACTTACTGTATGTGATATTACAATATTAAAGAAATATATACTATTAGATTTTTCAATCTTAGCCAGTAGGACCATGATCATAGTATTCATATGTGATGCTGTTAACAACTGCATGCAAGTTGGAAAGAAATCTATCATGATGTGCTAACTTTGTTGCATCCCTTAGTTAATCTTTTCTTTTGGAAAAACTATCAGTTCTCTCCTTTCACTGAATTTAGGCTACTGAACTAGCTGAGAGAAAGAAGTTGGAAAAGTATCAAAAAATGAAAGATGACATGGATGAAATTTCCAGCCTCCTGCAAGGAGACTTACTTTCTGAAAATCCTGAACAAGCAGTCAGTTCCTTTGGTAGACATCGTGTGATTCCAGATCGATGGAAGGGAATGAATCAGGATCAGCTGATGGCAATCCGTTACTCTCAACAGCAACAAGTTCTGGAGAAAATGGTATTTAAGCTTACATGCATATTCTGTATTCCTAGTTGTAATAATATTATAGACAGTGGTTGTAGAAGAAAATATTATTGTTTGCCTGCATGTCCCATTATAGGACTGTGGTTTCCATTGATCTGAATTTTACCCAAACTATCAATCAAACTGAACACAGCATTGCTCAAGCAGCTGGGAAATGTCATGGAGCAACAGGAGCAGGCTGGAGCCCTGGGGTTGGCCCTGGGCTCCACAGCAACCTTCCTCCCAGTCCATGGGGCCTGGGGGATCTTGGAGCATAGTCCATGGTGGCCCAACTGAGCAGCAAAGTTCTGCACAGCCTGGACGCCAGGCTTCATGGTGCCATTTAGGACTTGAGACTGCATGACCTGCCTGCACGGGATGAGCAGGAGTTGACTGCTCCACAGAGGAGGAAGAGCCAGGAGCTGAGGCTGGGAGCAGGGCAGGCTGAAGCAGCGCTCTCACGCTCAAGGGTACTCGAGCAAGACAAATAGAGGAGGTACAGTGATCCTGCTCATGCATATTTCATAGTCTTAAGAGTTCATGAATGCAACATAATTTCCGTTCTACCATCCCACACAATTATGAGCCATGCTCTGAGATGGAATTACAGTAGAAAAACTAAGTAGTGCTAATAATTGCTGCTTTAAAGGTAGATGGAAGCAGGCAGTCAAAATGAAGACATCTGCCCTTCCTATGGAGTCACAAGTGTGCAGGCCTAGGTATTGTGAAGTAGGAAGCTACTTACCTCGTTCAGTGCTGAGGCTGGATTCGTAACAGCTAATGAATAGCTGTTCAATTTTATTTTTTAATCCCTACAATACCGTGTGCTACACTGCGTCTTAGTTACTGAAGATAGAATTGTCATTTTCCTGGCTCTCCTGTGACCCTAAAGTGAACCCATTCAAGCAGTTTAAGCTGACAGAAAATGAGCCCCACCAAATTAAGTGAGGTTTTTGCAGGCCTGGTTTCTTGAATCAATTAAATGTGATGTCAGACGAGAAGTGAGGAAGTGATTGTATAACAGGGGCAGAGGAAAAAACAGTTTGAGTCTACTTATCTGGTTTTGGTGGCTCAGTTATTACACTGAGTTACCCATACTATAAGCCATACTGATGACTACAAATTTCTGACCTCAAGAAGGTAAAACCCTTGCTAACAAGAACCTAAAAAAAAAAAAAAAAATCCATCTTGCTGGTCTGGGTTTTTAGAGAGCTAATAGACAGAAATAGTAATCTACTGATTAACTTACTACTGCCATGCCGCAGATCTTAATTTTCTCACCTTGTGCAGAGGTAGGAGTCTGTCTTGCTCCCTGGAAAAAGGTAGCTTTCTCGTCTGTGGGATCTTAATTCTGGCTAATGCATGGACTCCTACCTAGTTTAGAAGTGCTTTTTCTCCTCATTTCAAATGCTACCCCTAGTGTTTAGTAGAGGCAAGCAAGTTTGTTTGGATGAATTTATGAATCAGGCTTTATGTAGACTGTTTCATCTTTGAAAAAAGAGAAAAGCATTTTTTTTAACTTTTGTAGAGACTGAAAGAGGAAGAGCGCCGAAGAGATGCTGAATGGGACAGGCAAAGTATACAGGCTGCAAGGGCGCAGTTGATTTTAGAGCGACATCAACAACGACAGAACCGGGAATGCCGCCAAGCTTTAGATAACGTAAACGCAGAGCTATCTCAGGAGCAGAAATCAAGGTAAGTACCAAAAGAGTTTCCTTCTTTTCAAATAAAACTCTTCACCATTAGCACAATAGCTTGGCTTTCAAAGAGCTTTTTTCTTGTATTGTTTGTTACTTTTTTTAATACACTTCTTACAAGTTTATACTTTAAAAAAAAAAAATGTAATTCAGTTTAAGTGTGTTTTTCATTGTTATTTAAACAATCTTCAAAGAGTAGGTTATAATTGTTACTGGCTTGCATGTATGGAGTAGCAGCTGGAGTTCTTAAAATCATTCCACTGACAACAGACGGTTTATATAGATAGCGAAATAGAGAATAAATACAATTAACTACGCAGAAAATTATAATATCAGATGTAAAACAGTACATGTTTCTTTAATTTACCTTAGTTTTCTGAAACAAAAAAAGATGAGTATCTACTGACTTCAGTAGAACTGCCAGTTTCTGATAGCTCAAGGTTAAGCTAATGGCACAAATGGAGCTTTTCTGTATGTATGACAAAACTAGATGATTCTTTAGCTAACCATTGGGCCTGTCTTGGTGGACAGGTGTTGTATCTGCTCTAATGGGAAAGGACAAATTTAATATGTGAAGGAAAAAAATAATCAAACTGAGTGATTTAATATTCTAGTCTTCCAGTCTTTTTTCTTTTTTTTTTTCCATCATGCATGTATACATATATTTTGCAAAAGAATTTCTAGTACCTCAAGCTTTCCTATAATGAAAGCAAAAATTCAGAATTTTGTTCATTTAGTTTGTCATTGTGAGATTTTTGGAAGGTTATTTTAGGGTGAAAAAATTTGCTATGTTGAAATGTGGCATACCTTTTAGAGAAAAAGATCTAGTTACATTTAATTCAATTTCTAATAATTCTGAATTTTATGAGTGTTTATGAATATGTATGCATGACATCTTCATTAGGTTTCTCAGATTACTTCTATATTATAATGAGAAAACATTTACTAACTGCATTTTTTTTTTATTTATTTCTAGGAACATTTATCTTAAAGAAGAAGCATATTCAAATTCTCCAACAGACCAGTATTATGCACAGTTTAATACAACCAGCCGATGACATTCTGGATACATGAACCTGAAATATGCAGAAGTATGTAGACATATTAAAATTTTCCATCGAGCAATCCCATGGTTTATTATTTTTATCTGTTCCCTATTCTGATCAGACAGTGCACTCGAACTAAAAGACAGTATGCTAGGCCACATCTGTGCTAAGAAGATGAAAACATTGTAATAATTTTTAAGCTTGATTGCTTTTCTAAAAAGTACTAGTAGATTGAGTAGAAGGTTGTTTCACTATTGTGTCTCAGGCATAACTGTAGTATTTACATTATCCATGCCTTCAGAAATCAATTTCTGGAAAGGAATCACAATTTAAAATATAATGCTGCTAAATGCAACTTGGTCAGATGGGAATGCTGCCTGATACAGACCACAGGTGATGCAGATTCCATAGGACAGAAGAAAGGTGACCTAGGCAGAAAGTTTTGGTTTGTTTTTTGGGGGAATTTCTTTGTTGTTTGTTGGTGTGGGGTTTTTTTAAAGCAAAAAAAAAAAAACTGCACAAGAGAAATGGATGATGGAGATATCCAGAAAATGAAATCCAGAAGG